TTAACTTAAATTTTAACTTTGATAACAATTTCAATAATACTTACAGATTTTAATCGAGTAAATAAAATTTTTCTACAAGAACTGTAGAGTATCTCAATGTAGCGCATTGTTGAAGTTTTCAACGCGATACCGACACGTGGTAAGAATATCCAATAGGACGAAATTTTGTATTAGCAATTCCAATCACAAGCTTGAGCAACGCGAACTTGCCTCGTAAACCGGCAAATTTCGTTGAATAAATCTATGGTATGAATAATATAATCAAACCACAGAGATATCTTTCAAATATCGAATGATATTTGAAAATCTATAAAAGCAAAGATATTCCAGAAATTTTCTCTTATATCAAATTTCATTTAAAATAAATATCGATAAACGGTAATGATTAAAAACTGCATTAACGGAAGAAAGGTTCTACAATTCGCAATCGTTTAACTAGCACTTTGATTAATCGGAGATTTAAGAACTAAAATTCAACATTGAAAATTCGTAGAATAAAAGAGAATGAAAAATTGCAGGAAAAGCTGCACCTTTATTCTAAAAATATAGCTTTTCGATTAAATCGTTCGAGAGATATAAAAACACGGATATTATGATTTAAAAAAAATAATATTACCATTAATCCTAAGTTATTATGACGTTTCGTAATCTGCAGATATAATTACAATAATCATGTATAATAATATATTATATAATAATTTATAAATACATAATTTATAAATTATAATAATATAATAAATGCTATAATAAATTATCTTTCGAACAAATTTTTTATTCAAAAAATGTTTTAACAAATATTTATAATTGCACTTAAGATATTTATAAAAATCAAATTCATTTTTTTTTAAATTAAGATATATTAATATCTACATCTATAAGAATATTTTTATATTAAAATATTTTTTTTTAAACAAATTCAAATTTCATTTTTGAAAATTTCATTTGAAATATTAATAAACATTTTCGAGAAATAATTTATTTCATTTATAGATTAAAATAAATCAGTATATGTAAATTGTAAAAAATGTAAATTTTAAAAAATATGATAGACATTATAAACACAAACATCAATAGATCACGAGTAACTTCAAAGAGATTTATTATTACCTACGGTCCAGCAGCTGGATCATTTTTAATCCAATTGAATTAGCGATCGATAATAACGCTAATTAGATAACAAAAATTAGATAAATATGAATCTATCTATAGAGCTATAGATCACTTTAGATTTGTAGATTCAGTTATATACCGAGAATTAACCTTTGATAAAGACGAGGATTGGGATTGAAGAAGAAGATAAACTCGACAAAACCAACTTTCTACTTTCCTTTATTCTGAAAACCGAGTTGGGACTAACAGCATTAACAAGATTGGCGAGTTTCTTGAAACTCGTGTAACTGAGCTACCCTTTCACAGATGGCGATACACCCAGCTTGCGATAACTTTCATCGTTTGATATCGGTAAAGAAGATGCCATAAAACAAACCGATTCTAAAATTACGCTCTAACGACCACAATTAACCAATCGTTAAACAATATTCGAATCGATTCTCGAGAAAATTTGGAAAAAACGAATCGAGTATCGTTGTTCCGTTTTACGATAAGAATAAAAAAAGAATAAAAAGAAAAAAAAATAGAGAAGAAAATAGATAGTAATGATTGAAAAGAAAGATGAGAGAAAAACTAAACAAAAATAAAAAAAAACAGATGTAATCGTAATTTCGATCGATCGATTGATAAGATTTTAAAGAAAAGCAAAGATACATGGAGGAGAGATGTAAGTACAGTTAAAAGATAGCGAGATCACCAGCGGGGAAACGAAAAGAAAAGAAGGGAAGAGAGGAGCGGAGATGCGGAGACGCGTGTGGATTCGTTCGGTGGACTGGAGGGTGAATGCCGTCGGCAAGAGGCGAAGGTAGGCGAAAGTAGCAACGCTAGAACGACAGCAGAGAGACAGAGTCGGAGGGTGAAGGTGGGTCGACCGAGAGAGCGATGGAGCGAGAGAGACAAAGCGGCAGTTAGAGTAGGAGGACGAGAAAGCGAGAGGGTTCGAAACGGTGGATGACGTTGGTCGGGGGTGAAGAAGGAAGGGAAATCGCAACGACGATCAATACCTCGCCACGCCTCGCGCCACCACCTATTCCGCTGAAGCGAAGCTTCACTTATCCAACCATTTCGTCTCTCGGTCAAGAATGGAATACCATTCTCTATGCTGTACATATCGCGATTATCGTGTCACTTTGCTTTCTCAATCTTCTTCGCGATTCAGATACATCAGATCGTAAAAACGGAACGCAAACGAAAGTTCTGTTTCTTCGAGCACACTCTTTGTCCATGGTTCCGACACATAGAACCAATGAAGAGAGTTATTTTTTAATGTATTTATCCAGATGATAATTTGTACGAAACGTATAAATAATCAACGAACGTTGTTCTAATTTTTCTGTATGTCGAAGAAAAAAATTCAAAAACGGGGCAAAACGATCGTGTATGCGGAGAAACGCTACAAAGAAGCGGTTAGGTACACATGACCCCGTTCCACGGGGTCACGATACGGGGATGTGCAAAAATCACAAGATGGCAGCACGTTACGGACAAACACAAACACTCTTGTCTTTGTATATTTTATTTTTTTAATAATTTTTACAATATATTAATTATAACATATTTTTTAATATATCGACAATGACGAAGAAATTTAATCGGTTATATCAATCTCTTTTATATACTGTATTCAAATTTTATTGAACGGAACACTTACGCATATTTGGCCTGAATTTCGAGAATCTGTGAGTAAGCATTGATCGGTTTACGATCGAGCGATTGCCACGATGAATGCCAGTGATGTAGTAATATGCATACTCGTAATTCACCTACTTTGGAATCTCATTTAGGATATTGAATAAAAATCCAAAAATTTAGCAAACAAGTGTGAAATTAATATTATTTCGAATAAAATAATAGCATGATACAAAAAAAAGATAAACAAAATAAGAAAAGAAAAAACGCAAAAGTGTCATTGTAACACAATGTGAAAAAATAATAATACAAAAATAAACATAATACACAAAAAACACACAAATATAATATAAAAAATTCAAATATAGAAAAATTCGTTATTTACAGAACTAATAACGAATGAAATTAAAAAATATATATCGAACGATTGTTGACTCGACATTGAAAAGAATATTTTTATTAGCAAAGAGACCACTTAGACCGTTCAACACTCACGTGGTCCATTCAACGAACTGTCTAGAGACTCGATAAGAACGTATAAAGAAAACGTCAGCGATATTGTGATATAACGGAAAAAGTAATAAAAGTTGGCAAGTTATCGTTATTGGAAACTTAATCACAGTGATAAGAGAAAAGTAACAACAAAGAAAATTTTACAAATATGAATATATTAACAAGCCATAACTTATAAATTAAGATCATAGCCATGGTAAAAAAGAAACGAAAATATTATAAAATTGTTGGATTGTAATCGATATACGAATTCGATTTATTGATAGAGAAACCGCCAATGCGAAGAAAGAACGAATTTGTGTTCAGGAAATATGTTGATCACATTAAATGACCACAATAATTTCAAATTAATTTCATATTAAATATGAAAGATACGGATGTATTGTAAATATGTAATCCCATTATTATCATTAATGTCAAAAATTTTTAACTTTTTTTTTAAAAATTTATTTACAATATAAAAATAGCAGAATAATTCTTATATATTGTTGATTCATGAGACGAAAAATGTTTTAAATAATTTATTTTATCGAAAAAATAAACACATCAATAATATGAGTAAATATTAATTTGAATTACTCTTTGTGTTCAAATAAATATTCTTTGTGATGAACGACATGTGACGAAGCGAGAAAGTCTAAATACGATCATCGAACCAAAATTTTTGCACGCCACGCCCACTTTCTACCGAAACCATTTACGCGGTACACTATGTTTGTAAATTATTATTTTTTTTTCTGTTATTCTGAAAAAATAACGTAAAAAATATAAAAGATAAAAAAATCACATTCGCTTGGAGAAAGAAAATAAAGATACAACCGGGCCGAATCTGTGGTTGGAAAACGCGTGGCGCGTGTCGCTTTGCGCCATGCGTAAACAAGCATACCCGTATGTTTTTGTCACGCTCGTTGAACAATCGTAGACACATACGCGATGACAGTTTTGCTATACGATAAGAAAACAAAGAAACGTGTTTTGCGTCGGAAATTGTGTGACAAAGAAGACAAAATCGAAAAAATAGCAAAAGCTAATGCTACTAGTCAATACAAAACATCCGCGAGCAAGCTACGTGGACCGAATTCGAAAAAAACATAAGAATTACGAATAAACGTTATCGAAGACGGGGAATGAAAAGGTTAATGACTTTTGAATACGTCCGCAAGCGAAACATAATACTTTCGATATCGATCGCGAATCGTGATAATCGAGGAAGCCTGATTCGTTCCTTTGAACAAATTACTCGGGGCGGATATAACCATCACGTCGCATCGTGTCCGAGCGATCAGTGGTTGCGAACAAGTGGCCGACACAAAAATAACGCGTGCGACGCGCACCGCGGCTAATGCGCTTTAAGGCAATGTGCTCGCAACAGGAACACCATAAGAGGTTATAGTTTGTCGAATTAACTTGCCTTTTTCCTCGAAAGACGCGAAACTGAAAAAGACAGTGGCGAATAAATATGGAACTGGTGAAAAAAAATCGGTGAAAAAAAAGAGAGCTCGTATATACGCGATATATAATAAGGGGAAAAAAGAAAGAGCAAAAACGGGAGACTGAATAATGTAAGGGGGGACAGAGCGAAAAAGAGATGATGAACGAGGGCGGAAGGGAGGAGAGAGAAGAGATCGGAAGGTCGGATCGGAGGTTAACCTGACAGTTGATGGGATCGATGGTTCGAGCGAATGTAATGAATTGAGAGCAATGAAAACGAAAAAACCGAACATTATATAATAATTGGTAGTACTCACCTCTGGTGGTGGATGCGTGGCAGCCGAGCACAGTAGTGCTAATCGGCGACCGCCGCTAATCACTGCGAGTTCACCGAGTTCACCGAGTCTCCCGCACCAAAATATCTTAGAATTTATCACGAAAACATGATCGGGTAACTTTGATAGAACGGGTAAGGAAGGAGCTCACTCTCGAAGCACCAACACTCGATGACGTCATTCCACCAGCGGCAACATGGAGCCCGAAACGCGATAGGACGCGGGCTCGAGAGACTCGAGTTAGATCGCGCTCGCTCCGAGCTATCCCTTGAGCTAACCTCAAATTGCTTGGTTGTTACTCGCGAATACGCAAACCCTTCGATCACCACCGGTTGACAATGACCAACTCCCGTACACCGACACCTCTTCTCTTCTCTCCTTACCGCACCTCACCGTCCCTCACCACTCCTCTCACCGCTTCTCTTTTTCTTTTCCTCTTACTCTTTCTCTCGAAGCTGTGCTGCGAGGCACACCGTCCGCGACTAAAATCCGCTTCGCTCCGCTCCTTTTTCCACGTGATTTCCAAACCGCTAACAGAGGGCAGTCGCGTGCGCACCCCCCACGACTGCGATTCCTTCACTGCGGGAAACTAGAGATTCGAAATCGAAGCTGCGCGTTGTGCTACCTCCGCTTCTCCTACAGAGGACGTCGTCGAAGCCGAATAAAGCCGATGCGTCGAGTCGTGTTTCGTCGTCGGGAGTCGTGACGAATCGTGCCGGGTCGTTTTTCGTCGTGTTACGTCGTGTCGTGTCGTGTCGTATCGTGTCGCGTCGCTTCAACAACGCCACCGTCCTACTTTTCCTAACCTCGCTTTCTCTCGTACACTAGTTTCTTTTTCACAAATACGCCACGAATTTACGTGAAATCGGAGAATCGCAAATCCTTTTTTATCATTCGAATACAATTCAGCCTATATTTGTGTGTCTCAATTTGCATTCACGTTCATGTTCGCATTCGCGTTCACCTTGTACGCAATTTTTTGTAACTTTTACAGAACTTTCGTGTCTCTGATTACCGACTAAACGAAACGCTCGATTCGACTGGCTCGAATCGACTTGTTCGCCCACTTTGCTTTCTGAACGCGCGCGCGCGGCTACAC